CTGCTTGCTGTGCGTCTGTCATGTTTTTTAATAATACCAATCTAAAAAAAAGTACTTGAGTTGCGGAACTTTCCTCTCCCGAGTTTGCTCCATCAAAGCCTATAAGGTAAACCGGATAAGTTGGAGAAGAGGGCAGGTAGACCCACTAGATCATTCTTCTTGCACTTCTGAGAAAGTGTTTCAAGTCAACTGGGTGCAGTTCTCAACCAGAGGGCAGACTTGTGGTTAGCCACATAAAGCTGTCGGCTGCAAAGAGCAATGCGTGCAGCCCAGGAGGGGTGGTCCTGTAGGACTGGGGAGAGGCAGCGTTGGCAGAACCTGACATTCTTCCAACAGCCAAGCCTTCTCTCCAAAACCCTACTCGGGGAGCACCTTGAGTTCCTTAGAGGAAAGCTTGATAGTGATCTAATAAATAAATCAAAACATACCTTACCCCTCTCACTAGAATGTTAATTTAATTTAAAACTAGCATGCCTAATAGGCAGTACTCTTAAAGTGCATTTCTGGAATTTGTGGTTTGGATTTCAGCCTTCTGAAAATAATATATTTTATATCTACTCCATGTGTTTGGACCTCAACTTGTTTTGACTAAAGGACATGATTTGTCAAGATGTTTCCTCTGCTGGAGTTGGCAAGGGGACGGTGGGTTTTATCTCATAAAACTGCATGAGGCCCCTTTTACCTCTTTTTATGTGTGCTTTTTGAGAAGTTCTTTTTTGCTGTTCCATTTCTTAAGGGGCCATGCTTAGTGGGGAAAAAAAAAATAAGAAATTGCTGAGAAAGACTCACAGAAGATACAACGCTTGAGTACAGTTCCTCTTTGCAACATTATAACCATCGTTTGTATTTTCTTCTTCTCCATCGGGCACTATACTACGAGGTAGGGTTTGATTTGTTGTCTTAACATTAGCTAAACAGGATTTTTAAGTCCTAGGGAAATAGATCGTGGTGCAAACCAAGCCCACGAGGAGAGATGAAACAACTGCCCCGCAGGCTCTGAGAAGCTGGGGTGGTGAGGGAGTAATGAGACTCACTCTGCCCTCCAGGTGCTGAGAACAGGGCCCAGCACATTGTAGATGCTCAGTAAATATTAGTTAAACTAACAGCTGAGTAGCTATGCCAGGGCTTTCGGCTCTTCTTAACAGCCTCGCTTTGGCTAAGCCTCATCTATCTTCAATCAAGCCCTGATTCTCAGGGCAGGGTTTCTAGTTGGCCCAGTCGGGGTCAGGGCCCCATTCCAAAACCGATCAGCAGTGGTAGAAGAGCAGGATCACATTGTAGGGACATGCCTGCGAGGAACCCATACTATGACCACGCGGCCAGGGGAAACTGTTGGCTTGTGGGTTGCACAGGGCCCTACAGAAGCATCTAGAACAGGGGTAAAGGATGCTTTGGGATGAAGGGCAAAATGATAGGCTTTAGGTGGAGTTTGGTGTCAGATCCTTGCACGGTGAGAGCTAGGCGTGCCTTGGCGGTCATCTATTCTAACTCCTTATTATTCATGTAAGAAAAAACGAGGCCGGGCGTGGTGGCTCACGCCTGTAATCCCAGCACTCTGGGAGGCCGAGGTGGGAGGATTGCTCGAGATGAGGAGTTCAAAACCAGCCTGAGCAAGAGCAAGACCCTGTCTCTACTATAAATAGAAATAAATTAATTGGCCAGCTAAGATATATATATAGAAAAAATGAGCCGGGCATGGTGGCGCATGCCTGTAGTCCTGGCTACTCGGGAGGCTGAGGCAGGAGGATCGCTTGAGGTCAGCAGTTGGAGGTTGCTGTGAGCTAGGCTGACGCCGCAGCACTCTAGCCTGGGCAACAGAGTGAGACCCTGTCTCAAAAAAAAAAAAAAAAGAAAAGAAAAGAAAATCCACTACCAAGGACCGTCTTAAAAGTCAGCGTGGGTGTTTCCTGGGCGCCTGAGGGTGTTGCACATTTTTCCTTCTAGAAGGCTCTGCCCGCGGCTGGGGAATGGGGATGTGACCCTTGCCTGTGCTAGGGACAAGTGTGTCATCTTAGTAAAGAGAGCCGGTGGGGGAGGGATCGGCAGCAGGGGTCCCAGAACTCCTGGAGTAGGTGGGGACAGAAAGAGCCGTCTCGGGGTGACACCTGCAGAGGAGCTGTCCCGGCGGCCTGTGCTGGAACGGCGGGAGGAGACTGTATTCTCCGCCAGCAAAGGTTTAGAAGATAAAAGAAAGAGCAGAGCAGCGACTCGAACTTGCTTCACTCATCTGTGCCTTTGCCGTGGCAGTTAATTATGCTCCGATCTTTCATCTTCAAAGCGCCTCCTACCGTGCACTAACACGCAGACACGGCCCCGTCATGTATGGCTGATCGTAAGGAATGTGTTACTCTGATGGAAAAGACTAGAAAGATTCTGCCTCCCCGATAGCCTGCTGGCTTGACAGGCTCCAAAAGGCAAGTCTGGTATCAAAACATAAATCTAAACAGAAACCAAAATAGCAAACACCAACACGCATTAATTGGACCAAAACCAACGGTTGCCTGCACCCCTTAGCCCTGGGCATTGTTCTATGTTGTTGCTGTTTGTCTTTTTTTTTTTTCCTCCTTTTCATCTTTCAGTGCATCCCTCCAAGATTTTCTTAAAATGTTCTTGGGAGTCCAGACTCTCCTCGTATGGAAAGCATATGTCTTTGGGAACATATCGTACCGCGTTCAAGTTCTGCAGCCGGTTTATTTGTGTTCCAGGGTTAAGTAGAAACAATAATTGTTTGGATAGCTCCAAGGAACCACGGGGTTAGTTAGTTAGTTAGTCAGCCAGAACTAAGGGCAAAGCAAAAGGAGAGTTTCTAAAAGATTTCTAAGAAAAGAAGGGCATCTTCTGCTACCCCCACACGATAAGAGAGCAGTACAGCTAAATACAGAATTGACGCTTTACCTGTCTTCCTCTCAACATTTTACTGAACTTTGTCGGGTGCGGAGTACTGCGTGCTCGCTGCCAACTCCGCAGCCCAGTCGGGTGGGTGCTCGGGCGGTACTTTCTGAACAATGTGACTGAGAATGTCGAACTGCTAAATGACCAGCACGTGTCCTGGGGGAAACGGAGGGAACGCAGCCCTCTTGTGGGTCTCCACCCGCTGCCTGCGGGCACAGATCTTTCTTGACTGCATGATGGAAATCTCCCAGCGTGTATAGTTGCGAGTAAAGAAAAACCAAACAAATCAGGCCGCGACCGGTGGCCACCGCTGGAATCCAGCCACTTTTGGGAAGGCCGAGGGCGGAGAGTCGGCTCACGGTCAGGAGTTTGAGACCCCGCCTGACAGCAACGAGTGAGACGCCCCGCTCTATCTAAAATATCGAAGAATTAAGTTGGCAACTAAAAATCTATAGAGAAAAATTACCAGCTGTCTGCTCACACCTAAATCCTAGCACTCTCGGGAGCCCGGCAGGAGAGTCGCTTGAGCCAGGAGTTGGAGTTGCTGTGAGCGAGGTCCGACGCCACGGCACTCTAGCCCGGGCAACAAAACCAGACTCTATCTCAAAAAAAGAGAGTACAGCCACTGATTTGGCCCCTGGTCCCGGTGATTTATGCTAGTCCCTGGTGAATCTTTCATCTTCAACTCTTTCACTGCAAATACACTCATAATTTTGTTTTCCTCTATAGTGAGTCTTTAAAGAAGAGTAAGATAGTGTGCAAAAATATCTAGTATAGTACTCACTGTGTTCAATAATGAGTATTTGTATGTTAGGAAGCTTGCTATGGAGAAATGAGGAGAACGATGGGGGTGGGCAGCCTGGGAAGGAACACAGATTAGAGGCCGTAACAGCGATGCAGTGAGGAAGTGAGGTGCAGCGGGTGACAAGGAGACAGCGATGGCTTTACGGGGACAGAGTTAACAGGACTTGATTTGGGAGGCGGAAGGCACAGCAAAGTCTGAGATGATCTCCGTGTCCGGCTCGGGAGACTGCCAAGGTGGTGATGCTACTAGAAATTCCAGAGAAGGGACGGCTTTGGGGGGAGGATCGTGCATCAGATTTGAAAGCTGTTGAGTTTGGAAATCCTGGGAGGCATCCAGGTGGTGACGTCCACAGGAGCTCAGTCGAGAGACGGGGCTAGAGACGGGGGATGTGTACAAAAGACTATCGAAGGCATGTGAGAACACGAGGTCCTTTGGGGATGTCCCATTGAGGGAGAAGAACAAAAGGCCAAGGTTGGAGCCCAGAGCAACGTCAGCATTTGAAGGGGCAGACCAAGAAGGGGACCTATGGAGAAGTCTGAGAAGAAGCAATCAGAAAAGGAGAAGGCAGGCCGGGCGCGGTGGCTCACGCCTGGAATCCTAGCACTCTGGGAGGCCGAGGCGGGAGGATCGCTCGAGGTCAGGAGTTCGAGACCAGCCTGAGCAAGAGTGAGACCCCCGTCTCTACTATAAATAGAAAGAAATTAATCGGCCAACTAATATATATAGAAAAAAATAGCCGGGCATGGTGGCGCATGCCTGTAGTCCCAGCTACTCGAGAGGCTGAGGCAGGAGGATCGCTTGAGCCCAGGAGTTGGAGGTTGCTGTGAGTGAGGCTGACACCACGGCACTCTAGCCCCGGCAACAGAGTGAGACTCTGTCTCAAAAATAAATTAAATAAATAAATAAATAAATAAAATAAAGGGATATAATGAGGTGGGGATATGTTTTGCATTTTCCTAGTCAATGAGTTCCCAAATCGCTAGCACATCTGACAGCTGACAAGTCACCATCTGTCTGCAGGGGTCCTCAAACAGCGGCCCGCCTAGCACATTTATCCAGCCCTGCAGGTATTTTTGTGGCCGCTGCCTGTCCTGCTTAGCAGCCGACTCGTCCTGGCCCTCAGTGCACACTCTCCAATGATCTGGGGGACGGTGACGTGGCCCCCTGATTAAAAAGTTTGAGGCCCCCTGGTCTCAGGGCTGTCTCCCCTGCATCGTGGGGGGCAGCCCCGGTCCCCCTGGCCGTGCGATGGAGACGGTGCCCCGCTGCGCCCGGCCTCACCCACGCCCGTTCTGTCCCGCAGGTGAGCCGGCCCCTGCCCAGCGACCACCCGCTCCTGATCCTCTTCGTGGTGGGCGGAGTCACAGTCTCCGAAGCCAAAATGGTCAAAGACCTGGTGGCCTCCCTGAAGCCGGGAACCCAGGTACTGAGCCCCAGGGGACGAAGGGCGGGCCAGGGTCCCCCACGCGCGGGTCCAGGGTCCCTCCCCAGCGCCAGACCCCGCCAACACGACCCGCAGTGCTTCGCTCCCGGCGGTGGAGGATGGTGGGGCCACTTTGTCACGGTCCTCGTGACCCCAAGGAAATGAGCCTAAATGGAAACTCCGTTCTTTGCAAACTAAGCTTCTTTGCAAGTGGGGGATGGGTGGGGCGGGGGCGGGGCTCTCCTTTTACTGTCCTTTCCCACCTCCGGGCCCCAAGGGCTCGGGCGCTGTCATCCCTGTTCCCGACTCCGGAAGGGCTTATATTTTTGGTGTCCAGTGACCGCTTAATCACTCGAGAGTCTTCCCTGCTCTCCAGCTTCAAATAATCGGAGGGTGACCCCAGGGTGCACCTCCCAGCAGCCACCTTAGGGGAAGGGACATCGTCACAACAATGACAGCGGCCGTGTCTTTAGCCTCTAACCCTGCCGCCCAGTCCCCACACAGGAGAGCCGGCCCCGGGGCCCAGCGGTTAAGAACCCAGACCTTTCAGTCTTACGGGCCTGGGTTCCAATCCTACCTCTGCCTCTGCTTAGCCAGGTGACCCGGGAGAGAAAAGCCCGCAGGTTCCTCGTTTAGGGAGTGGGCTGGGGTGGGGGCCGTGATTCTCGAGGAGCTGGCATTATCACGTGCTTGGGGACTGTCATGCGGGGGGACAGGGAGCCGGGGACACCTTCCCCTCCACTCTCGTCCCGCCTGCTTGGGACGTCCCCCGAGGGCCTTGTCCTGCCGGCGGCTGCGTGCGGCTGAGCAGCTCGCGGGGTTTGCGGGGAGCAGAGCGGAGGTGCGGGGCTTCAGGCGGGACGGTGGCCGGTGCAGGGCACTGCGCAACCCCGCTGCCCAGAAAGCAGGTGGGCGGAGGGCGGCGGGTCCCAGCCCGTCCTGGCCGCTGCTGCCCTTGTCTCCCACCTCTGCCCACTGATGCGTAGTCCTGGCACCCAGCCTGGGGAGGCCCCGTCCCTCCCCTCCGTGACGTCCCACCCTCTGCTCCAAGCTCTTCCTGAGTCTCTGCTCCTATCCACATCCCATCCTGGCCGGTGCGGGCCTGGGCCGCTGCTCCCTGGCTGCTCCGCGTCTGCCGGCCTGGTCCCCCCGACAGATGTGATGTCCCTGGGGACAGACTTACCAGGCCTGAGCACACGGCTGGGGCTCCGTAAACCTCGACTCAGCACTGGCTTGGGGGAAGCAGCCTGAGTCGCTGCAGTGTCTGGACCACCAGATCCAGTCGAGGAGGCCGGGTCCCTGCTGCTCTCCAGCTGAGGAATGGGACCTGGGTACCTAGGGAGCTACAGTAGGTTCTTGAGCAGGGGAGTGACCGGTCTTTGGCCATGACTATTTCTGCTGTTGCTATCACCTGTTACGGTCCCAGCGGGCGAAATTTCTGCTGCATCAGTAAATGCTGCCTCATGTAACACCTTAGTGCTAAGGTTCTGTTTAATGACCAATCGCCTTTTTGAGCAAGACTTTTTTTTTTTTAATCAAAAAGCACACTAAAACGGCGAGCCGAACGCTTAGCTCTTCAGAACAGTGACACGTCGTCACAGCCCGACAGGCGTGCCAATCCCCGCTCCAAAAGGATAAAATACAGACGTTTTCAGAGCGGTGTGACCCGAGTTTGGCAACACAGAGACCCAGCGTCTACACTGGCTTAGCTGCCACCTGACCCCGTGCTCGGTCACCTGCAGAGAGCCCTTCTCAACGAATGCGGGGCTCACGGTTCAGCCTGGGCTGCTGCTAGTCCTTCGCGTCAAAACCTCCCCGGAAGAGTTAACAGGCTCCTGGAAGATTCCAAAGGCAGCCGGGGAAACAGAGGAGGGATTATCTGTCCTCCTGCCTGCCCTTCATGCCCCGTGTTTGCAAGGGGGTGGCCGTGTTTGCTGGCCTGACACCTGCCAAGGGGGATCTCCCTTTCTTAGACCTGGACAGGCTCGCGGCTGCCCTGGCCCACGGCTAACTGCAGGTCTGAGACGGGCCAGTGTCCCACTTTGAGAGCTGAGTGCAAATCACGCCTGTCATAGCCAGAGCTGTGCACGTGCCCCAGTTCCATCATCGGCTCAGACTCAGGCTTCTGCTGGGGAACACGTGTGACCCACGCCAAGGGAACAGTTTCTATGGGATCTTTTTTTTTTTTTTGAGACAGAGTCTCAGTTTGTCGCCCAGGCTAGAGTGCCGTGGCGTCAGCCTAGCTCACAGCAACCTCAATCTCCTAGGCTCAAGCGATCCTCCTGCCTCAGCCTCCTGAGTAGCTGGGACTACAGGCATGCGCCACCACGCCCGGCTAATTTTTTCTGTATATATTAGTTGGCTGATTAATTTCTTTCTATTTATACTAGAGACAGGGTCTTGCTCTTGCTCAGGCTGGTTTCGAACTCCTGACCTCAAACGATCCTCCCGCCTCGGCCTCCCAGAGTGCTAGGATGACAGGCGTGAGCCAGTGCACCCAGCCGGTTTCTGTGGAATCTATGCCCAACAGGCAGACCACCTGAGACACGCCTGGCGACCAAGAGTGACCTTCCTGTGATCATCGGTGTAAACAGCGATATAACACGCTGTTCTGTCTGTGCCATTCACGCTGCGGTTGGCCGTCTCCCTGGACGAGGTTCCACCCTGTCCCCCCGACTGCAGCCTTCTTGAGTCTTGGAGGGCTTCGCTCTAAGCGCCAACATCTCCTCTAGATGAAACCCAAGTCTGCCTGCTGGGCACTGTCACTCATCAGTGCCGGTTCTAGCTCCCGGGCCACACGGAATTTTAAACCAAGTATGGTTCACCCCTCTTCCGCACGACAGTTCTGCAGACAAACGGAGAGAGCTCCCATGTCCTTCCCGCGGGTCTCTTTCCTCCAAACTGATCATCTTTGGTTCCTAGAGTCACCCGACTCCCACCGCTGTGGACTGATGATCGGTAGAGAGAAATTGGGGTCCCCTCTTCCCCGTCCCTGCCACCGCCTACAAAGCCACACGTGAGCCCAACGCCCCCCATCTTTGGGGCTTCTTTTCTGGCCACTCTTCTCCTTGCTTGTGCCCTTCCAGCCACGGGGCCTTGTGTTTTTGAACTATTCTGTTCCCAGCCCCTCAATCAGGCTCTGCCTCTTAGGGGGTGTTCGTGAATGTTCATCGAATGTCCAATACTGAACACCAGGAACTGGTGTTCCTTGTGTTCAATGTTACTTTTAACACTGCAGTGTAGGCGAGAAATAGATTTTCTGGAAAAGACCACGCAAACCACACCAACCTATGGATTGATACTGAGATTACAGGCAACTAAACCTCTTTGTCTTTTGTATCTGTTGCTATTGGTCCATATCTTCCCTGCTTTCTTGCTATGGCAGGTGCTTTCTGAACCCAAGTACAGGAACTTACAATCCTGCCCATTAAGTTGGATTAATTGATTATTCAACAAGCATTTATTGAGCATCTACTCTGTGCCAAGCGCTGCTCTTTGAGCTACGGTCAGAGCAGCCACCAAGCTGGACACATTCTGGTTTCGTGGCACTTACATCCTACCAGGTAGTGGCTAGCAATAATCATGGAAACTTCAGCAGACAGCAGCATAGAAGGTTCTACAGTGGGAAGAGCCAGGAGGAGGAGGTTTCTCTACACTACGGACTCCTCACGGAGAAGGCTCTGGATCTGAGATTTGCAAAGCATTCAGGGATCCGCCACTCAAATAGAGTCCATTTAAGGCATCTGCAAAATGAACTCTCACCAAAAATGGTAAGGATGGCATGAAGCCCAGGGAAACCAGAGACCACATTCCCACCTGCTGGTCCGTTGAGGCTGTCATCCTCCAAAACGGGAGTGTTTTCTCACTGCTTGTGGCTGCCGGGGTGTGCTGATAAGTGACATGGCAAGTCGGAGAAGGTCCTCTTTCCTAACTACAAAATAGGATCAAGGCCGGGCGCGGTGGCTCACGCCCGTCATCCCAGCACTCTGGAGCCAAGCGCGAGGATCGCTCAAGGTCAGGGTTCGACACACAGCCTGAGCAACTGAGCAAGCCTATCACTACACAATAGCGAAAGAAATTAATTGGCCACTCAAAAGATATCAGAAAAATCGAGGCCGGGCATGATGATCACATGCCCCCTCATAATACACCAGACTACTCGGAAGCAACCTCAGAAGGCACGCGAGAATCCGCTTGAGCCAGGCGTTGGAGGTTGCTGTGAGCGAGGCTGTCACGCCACGTGCACCTGGTGCCTCTAGCCTGCAACATAGGAGACTCTGTCTCAACAAAAATATATATATAGTGAATCAAGACGGCAATGCCCCCACCCTACCCCAGCAGCCACAGGCACCCCGAGGGTCACTTTCCAGTTCCCTGTCACCCTGCCGCACGGAGTTCGCCACACGAGCCTCAGTCCTCACTCTTTCTCTGCCTGGTGCGGGACTCCGTGGCCGGGCAGCCCTGGCCGGCTGCATTCTGGCAGCTGGAGGGGGCCGATAGGTCCGGCGAAGAGCCAGCCTGTGATTGTGAGAAGAAAATGACAGGCGACACGCCGACCCTTGCAGAAACACAGGGCAGCGGGCTCACGGACAAAAGAGTCACGGCCAGCGGCCCAAGCTGACCCCCGTCCACATGCTTCTTCATAACAGGCCCACGTGGTTGCTGCTGCCCTACGCTTCCCGTGTCGTTCCACGTTTCTGGAATTGAATATTTAGTGACGACATCATTTTTAAAAAATAGATGCAGAAATATGCTCTTGCATACATAGTTTTGGACACAACTTTCAAAGGTCAGGGATTCCGAAATCCTGGCTCTAAAACCTGCCCCCAGGTTATTCTAAAATTGATGGGAGAGGACTTGAGTGACTTTAACAAAACACCAGAAAGGACAAAAGTGAAAAGATGACCTAGGCCGGGCACGGTGGCTCACGCCTGTCATCCTAGCACTCTGGGAGGCCGAGGTGGGAGGATCGCTCAAGGTCAGGAGGTCGAAACCAGCCT